CTTACCACACCACAATAGTGCAATTTAGGAATTGCATGCAAATTTACAAAACCCACCTGTGATCTTCCCCACCTCACTGCGTCTAATAATTTCATCATTTTACAGATAGGACCAAGGAACTCAGGGCAGGTTCGTCGCTCAAGATCAAGCAGCTAATAAGTTAGTGTGGCCAGGGTTCAAATTTAAGTCTATAAACCCCCCATTTTGTCGTGGTCTACAATGTGCTAATCTATCGCCTGCGATTGCGGAGAGCTGAAGACATTGTGATGGAAATACCTCTACGTGTTGATGCTTCTTAGAAAGGTCTTCTTCCAGTTTTATCTTTATTTTATAAGAGCCTTATTGGGGTATGATTCAAAAACCCATAAAGTTTACCCTTTTATTTTATTTTTATTTTTTTTTATTTTTATTTTTATTTTTTTTAAGTTTACCCTTTTAAAGGTAAATAATAATAAACAGAATTATTGCCCTTTAAAGAGTCCAATTATTTCCTTTTGAAGAGTCCAGTTCCGTGGGTTTTAGAGCATTCAGACTTGGGCAACGGCCATTACCACCTAATCTTAGAACATTTTTATCACTCCAAAAAGAAACCTTGAACCTGTGAGCAGTCACTCCCGCATTCTCCCCTTCCCCAACCCTGCAGCCTGGGCTTACGCCTACCCTGGACATTCTAGACCTTTCCTATAAGCAGGATCATACAGTACATGTTCTTGCATAACTGGCTTCTTTCACTCAACCGTGTTTTCGAAGTTCGTTCATGATTCAGCATCTACTGGTGTCCGGTTCCTCCTTAATAGCAGAACAATATTCCATTCTGTGGATAAGCCACTTTTTTGTTGTTGTTGTTCATCTATTTATCACTCGAGTTTCGAAAACACACCTTGAACCAATATGTAAAAATCGGGAGACTTCATACTTTCGTATGAAAGTACAAAACTTGGGGACGCCCGGTGGCTCAGTGGTTGAGCATCTGCCTTCGGCCCAGGGCGTGACCCCGGAGTCCTGGGATCGAGTCCCGCATCGGGCTCCTGGCATGGAGTCTGCTTCTCCCTCTGCCTGTGTCTCTGCCTCTCTCTGTGCATCTTATGAATAAATAAGTATAAAATCTTTTTTAAAAAGTACGAAATTTCTGGAAAACCTCAGGTGCCCCGATGCCACATTCCTCGTGGTGATGAGAAGCAGGTGCAGAAGGTCCACCCTCCACCCCTGGGGACCGCCCCGTTCCTACTCTCCTCTTCTCGCCGCTGGGGTCTCTTGCCTGGTCCCTGGAGGCATCTCGGTTTGGGACCCGTCGTGTGTGTGGAGTCATAACCCCTCAGCCAACCTTCCCCGGCCCCGACGCGGTCACTTCCTGACCTCTCACTGTAACCTCAGGACTCACCTTTGCTGTCGGTTAACAACAGAAAGTCAGGACGGCTCAAAATTCCATGCCAGTCGCCTGCTCCCATCCAGAGACACCAGGAGCCTGGCATCCTGAAAGAAACATGAGGGTTTACAAATCCCTATACGACGTGGGTGGATGCTTTTCCTTTTGGCCACATTTCCCTGGGCCCTCGGCACCCCAGAGCTGCAGGTGGCACCGTGCAAGCTTGGTTTTGAAACCAAACCAACAGCAACAACAATTAACAAGAAAATCAAAAAGCAACTCTGCACATCAAGGGTGGGGAGGAGACTTCCAACCCTCTCAAGTCAATGTCCGAGGGCCGCTTTATCAGTAGCCCTGATACCAGAGACCTTATTGTTCTCTGCTCTTTCCCTTTTCTCCTAAAGGGAGAATCCAGATTATCCTCCGTCAAAGACTTCTTGCACTTGATGATTTTTTTTTTTAAAACAACTTTCTACCAGTAAAGGGGAAAAATAGATCCCAATGTTTTCAGTGTCTTCTATCGCTGCTGTAATAGGAAGGGGCACACCTAGTTCCATAGGTTTGACCTTCCTGAAGCCGATGGCTGCGAGCCTTGGACGAAGCATAGTGCGCACGTGCACGGGGGTGGGTGTGTGCACACACTCCCGTCCGCGCTCACATGGGTTGAGAAACTACAAAGCTGTGGGGACCTTCCCCCCCAGAACACAGCCTTTTTTAATTTTTAATGAGCGGGGTTTGACCGAGTCTTACCAAAGCCCGATGAAGCTCCAAAAAAAAAAAAAAAATGTTTTACCCTTCCTAAGAAACATAAGTGAATAGGAAAAGATTTTTTTTTCCAGAGGTAGAGGTTTTATTGCGTAAAACACTGGATAAAACGGGACTGCTTCAAAGACATTTTATTCTAACAGCAGAAAGAAAACAGTCATTGCTGAAAAAACAACTTTTAATACTTTCTATACCAGAATAAAGTTCTGTCAACTGATGTATTATAATAATAAATAATGACCAAGAATAAACTTTAAATACAAAGTTTTCTACTTGTTACAAGCATAGCAACAAAATCCTCTACTCTATTGATCTCAGATTTCCTCCAAGATAGATTTTTTTTTCTTTGTGTAGGAATGTAGACAGTATTATGACCAGCATCACAGACTACAGAAGTTACAGGGAAAAAACTTGACATGTTTAGATATGAGGACCTGGTGACATTCAGAAACTGACACTGCATCACTGCGGCTGTCACTTGTTTGTATTACAAGTTACAAATGTTCTGGAAAGAAGGCTTGTGTCAGAGGGGGAAATAAGGACGGTAGCACTGGACAAAATGGGATCAACACGCACGCCACAAAGAAGAGGGGATGTTCCCAGTGTCACAAACAGAATTATTGCCTGTCGCATCTGACGATGCTCAGAAGACACAAAAGAATACCAAAAGAGCTCCCAAAGTGCTAGAAATGGAATGTGGCTCTCGTTTTTTTTTTTTTTTTTTTTACTTTTTTTCCACTTTTTTTTCCCTCTTGTTTTTTTTCTTTCTCTTTTTACTTTTTTTTTCTTCTTTTCTTCTTTTTTTTTTTTTAATATATTTTTCTCTGCTAAGATACCAAAGGCGGGGCAAACACACGGAAAGCAAGCGACTGGCACAGTCACCAAACACAGTAGTGCAGTTAAAATCCTAAAGCTCACTACAGTCAGAAAGTTTTCAGTAACATTTCAGTCCTTCCTCTAGGATCATAGAAACAGTTGCATTAAGTTTATCAACTCGATTTAAGTAAGGCAGTGAGAACTATTCTAGAAAAACGAGAAAGCGGCTTGCTCTATGCCAGATGGGTCCACGTTGCACAGCGACCTCATTTGCACTGAAACCTTGGGTGGGTGACACCCTCTGGACAGCGTATGCAAACCGGATCCCTTATTAGCCTGAGATCCCTTCTGGTCTCAGGATAGCGCTAAGCATTTTATTTACATTGATTGCAGTTTAGAATTTTTGTAAACTGCTGTAGGCAGAGCTGAAGTTTTTAAGGCCCTGGGGTTTTATTCTGTGCTCCCAGCCTGCAAGGAAATATCGACTGTTTTTTTTTTTTATTATTTTTTTTATTTTTTTTTAAGTCTGAATGATTTCGTTTTAGAAGAAATTAATACTTCGATACTTCTCTACCGTCACAAGCAACAGCACCAATTTCGTGTCACTCAAAGGAAGTATGTTAAGAGGCTGAACTTACACACCATTCTAGCAGATTCAAGAATAAACCCTTCACCAGTCTTCTTACATTTTTTTTTTTAAATGAGTTAAGTGTTTCATCATTGGCCCTCAAAATCTCCCTCTGGGTGGTGCAGAACTCAAGAAATTTGGAGTATCCAATCAGTAAAAAAATCTAAAACCTACAAAAATATAGAACACATTTGTTTTACAAAAACAGACATTTTAACTCAAACAGTTTTCTTCATTAGCAATAGAGAGCAGGATGTTTAGATTCGGATTTTTAATACAAGCTATTTCATAAGAGCTTGTCGGAGAAGAAAATCCTTCTTCGTGTCTGTGATACTTACAAAAGCTAACACACGAAAGGAAGCTGATCATAAGGACCGGAGCAGCCTTCATTCAAGTAAAATTTTTTTAAAAAAATCATAATAAAAAACAATCTTCCTATTATTACGTGAATTTCCACTTCTCACCAGCACCTTCTGTGGATAGGGTTGGCTAGTTTTCCTAAACAGCATTTTATATCATGGACCCCTAATTTATTTATTTATTTATTTTTTTATCAGCAACGTCTTTTTCATCCACACACACACAAAAAAAAGACAACCGAGAGAAAAAAAAAGAAAAAAAAAAAAAAAAGCCTTTCCCTCAATCCTGCAATTTGATCTTAAAAAAAAAAAAAAAAAAGGAATTACTCATCAAACCTGCAATGGGCATTTGTCTGCAGATCATTCCTGGCCATTGATTCGTTTGGCTGGGTGATTTTTAAAAATGCACGTGTAAGATGGCAATCCTCTGCAGCGCCGGGCGGCCCTGGCTAGGATTTCTCCGCGAGTGCAGTTGGGACACTATGTGGATTGATTTTCTCTGCAGTGACCGCTCCAGCCTGACTGGCACCGCCGCTGCCTCGCAGCACATCTCATTAGGGTGGGGGGCAGATGGCAGCAGCTGGTGGCAGATTATAGAGGTGTTTTCAACAATGAAAACACAGCCCCTCCATCTTCAAGGCAACACTAAATCATTTAGATGGTATCATTTTTCAGTTAAGAGCATGATCGGGGGACAAAGACGACTTAAGAGTTGGAAGGGTCCCCAGCTTGCTCAAGCTTGGAGGACACCAAGCCTTCCGGAAATCACTTCTCTTCCACCTGCATCGTTTGGAAGTACTTGTTGCCGGGTAACAGTTTAGCAGCCATTTTCAAGGGCTGGGGATTTGTTTTTGTGGGTTTTTTTGTGTTTTTTTTTTTTTTAATATATATATATAGATATCTTTTTAAATTTTTTTTAAATGTTCTATACACTAGTGGGGGGAGTTGTACACGATTTTTGTTTTGTTTTGTTTTTTCCCCTTGGGATGCAGTTAGCAAACTCTTTTACCAGATGCATAATCTTAAAACTGTGTAAAATAATATTGCAATATACAGGTCAGTTTGCTCAGTTACGCTCCTCCTGGGCTTTGCAGCCCTCTTCTGTTAGCTCCGCTGAGCAACCCGCCTTGACAGCTGTGGGGTCTTCGAAATTCCCAGAAGCCTCCGAGTCGACTCTGGAGCGCTTGAACCTGCGGTCGGGATACTGGCTGTTGTCAAAAGGCATACGATGGACGCAGAGGACGTGGGTCTTCAGGTTCCCCTTCTGCGAGGCACTGTAGGGGCAGTATCGGCATTGAAACGGCCTGTGACCTGTGGACACAAAGAACGGCCGGTCAGCTCTGCCGCTCGCTCCCTCCCCGGCCCCGCGGCTCCGAGGACACCAGCACCAGCACCACCAGCATCGCTACTATGACACCTGCACTTACTACGCAAAAAATCGGATCCGCGAAGGACAGAAACGCGGCCCGTGGATCCATTTGGACAAGCAGTAAGCTACATGGCGAAACCAGAAGTTGCCGACGAATAATAGCTCGAGTTTCTAAGATCTGTCCATCCCAGGGGGAATTTTAATCCCGACTTTCCCAAATGACAGGAGGCGATGTTCGCAACGCCTCGATTCTTTTTCTGTAAAACCTCGGCCCGCACGTTAGGCTTTGCAGGCCAAGACACAAAGCCGAAGATACTGCGCAGGCACCTCTATAGGGCAAGAGGGGAAATACGCTTCCAGCGTTTTATGGATGAAATTCAAAACTGATTCTCGGCGCTGAAATTTGAATTTCGCCTGATATTCCTCAGAGGTGAAATAGTTATTATCCCTTGTTTGTTTGGTTGGTTTTCAACCATTTAAAATGTAGAAACCGCTTTCAGCGCCTGTACGAAAACAGATAGGAGGAGGATTTGAGCACTGGGTGTTATTCTGTATGTTGGTAAATGGAACACCGATAAAAAATTAATTTATTTAAAAAAATAAAGCTAAAAAAAATAAAAAATAAAAAAATAAAGGAGGAGGATTTGGCCCCCGGACTGTGCTTTGCTGATCCCAGTTCTACACATGAGAAAAGCCATAAATCCCTCCCCCTGAGATTCTGACTCAGGTCTCGGCGCTAAGCCACTTCCCTTTCTTATCCCCCCATCAACTCTTTATGGACCAGCAAGGGAGCGCGAGCAGATGAGCATGAGGAGGCAGGGGGCTGAGAGAAGGGTGTGCCCCAAGCCTCGCCCTGGGGTGGAGCTGGAAGTGCTAAGCTGGTGGCATTTGCAGAGCCTCAGCGTTTTAAGGGGGGGCCAGAAGAAGATATCTGCCAGGAAGCAAAATATCCAAATAACCCAGGCCGGGATAGTTTTAAAGAAGTTAGATTTTTGAATCGTAACCCTTGAAATCAACTTTTTTTTTTTTTTTTCTGGAAACGTGCTACATCGGAACAGAAGATGGATTCTTGTGGAAATCTACATAGTCCTCCATGCTTGGTTTTTCTGTTCTGCTGCACAGAAGACACGCACACATTTCTGCCGCCTTGAGGAACCAGGAGAGCATCTGGTTTTGGGAAGTTATAATAGAACAATTGCATTGCCCCCCCCCCACCATGCACGGAAGCTGTTGACGTGCCGTTCCTAGGAAGCTCATGGGTACTGTCCCACCCAGCACCCAGAGAGGTCAAGGCCCAGGTCCCAACTCCTGGTCCAGTAGGTCCCAACTCCTGTCTAGACTATAAACACAGAAGCCTGCAGGAGGACTTTGTGCTTCTAGGTGTCCCACCTCCAGTCCAGCCTCCCCAGCAAGACCAGGATGGGCTCGGACAGCAGGAGCTCAGCTGCGATTTCCTTGCCTCAAGTCTTTGATGGCCACCCACCCCTCTGAAGAAATCGGGACCTTCGAGTCTAGTCCGAGCCACCTCCTCTCCAGTCTCCTCTGGGGCCTCCACGCTTTGTCCACATCAAACCAGACCACTGGAGGTCTCTGCAAAAAGGGCTTCATTCTGCAGGGTCTCCGTGCCCTTGCTGTATGCCCCTCGCCCTGAAATAACCACTTCCATCCTCTCTCCTATTTCCAGGTTCTGCCCAACTGGGATGCCGCTTTTGGGGGCCGCTGCGTATCGATCGCCTTGATTGGCTGTGGGTTCCTGGCAGGAAGCATAGCCATCTTAGTATCATTGGTGCCAAGCCCACTACCTGGCACAGAGCAAGCAGGCAGGAAGTTGTTTGTGGAACTGAATCATTATCTTACTCCTCCACCTTGCCTGTTTTTGAAGGTATTATAAACTTTTGGATGGAGTTTCGGCGTCTTTTGTTCCTATTGTTGCCTCTAACACAAGGCTGAGTTTGATCAACTCTCCCACTTTGCCAAAAGCCAATTTGCAAACCTGTGGACTTTGGAGTGAAGAATAAATGAAACCCAAGAAAAGTACACTTGCCGTTGGCCCTCGTGCAACAGCCTACCACGGCGGGAAGGGCACCACCAGTCAGCAGGAGGGGCCTGGCCTTGATGGACAGGTGAGAGAAAGATTCACCAGTGTCATTCCCCTCCTGCCTCCCTGCTACCCAGCCCCACCATCCCAAAGATGACAGGGAAGGCCCTGGGCTGGTGGGGAAGGAGAACCGAGACTCGTATTTCTAATGTGGGTGTAGGAGTTTTCACAAAGAATGTAAGTGGCCCGATTCTTCATCACATTGGAGTTAGGGCATAGATAAAAGGGAAGAATCTGGGTGCCAGTCGGTGGCCGTAGGACAGAAAAAAACCATTCTCTCCACCATAACCCTGAATCTAAGCCAGTGCTATGCTGGGAATCAGCAAGTTTCAAGCAGATCCCAAGACTCGACTTCCCAACTCGAGAAGTTGTCACCCCTGTGGACACTGAACTACTTACTAGCCCTGGGCCCGGTGAGGGAGGATTCGGGGTTCTCTGCAGGAGCAGCTCTTGAGCAGGAGATGAGACGGCCCAAATCTACAGCTAAAGGCATGTGAACTAACTGGAGGTCATGCAAAGAACCTGAGAAGAACCGAGACACCTGTTCTCAGGAAGCCCAAGAAATGTTTCTCAGGAACAGACTACATGTTCTGGGTTGCGACCACGGGCAGCTCGGTGGCCGCTCACTCTGCCAATCACCGTGGCTCACCTATAACGCCGGAGCCAGCTCACCAATTTTCGTGTCATATTGCATGTTACGCTTATGCCCGTTGCATATTACGTATCATATGGCAGTAAGTCCCCGACGGAGACAATCACCACGGTCTGATGAGTCTCCGGAGTCAAGAACTCTGAATACTAAAGACATGAAAATTAAAAATAAATAAATAAATAAAACCAAGACTCTTGGTACTGTGATCCAAAGAGCCTACCACAGTCCACCACAGCAAAATGACCAAACTGGGATCTTGTTGGATAAATCCAGGGACCCCTGGGGGTTCAGCAGTTGAGCATCTGCCTTTGGCTAAGGGCGTGATCCTGGGGTCCTGGGATTGAGTCCCACATCAGGCTCCCTGCATGGAGCCTGCTTCTCCCTCTGCCCGTGTCTCTCATGAATTAAAAAAAAAAAAAGTCCATCTCAGGTCCCCAGAATTCAGAAAGGTTCTTCTCTTCCTCCACCATTTCTGCCCGTCTGTCAAGGCTGTTTATTATATTTTCTATTATCACAAATAATACGTTTCCGTGTGACATCTATGTCACCACCTCTGGAAGCCACCGTGTCTCCAGTTGGACCACCAGGGGTGCCATGCGGCATGCATGTTGGCAAGCCAAGCGGAGAACCTCAAATATCACCTTTCTTCACAATAAAAGCCTTTTTTTTTTTTTTTGGAACGGCCAACTGGGCATAGAAGCACCGAGTAGATTTTTCCCACCAAACTGATTTTAAAATATTAATCGCGATTTTAACCTGTGGCTCTCTCGGAGTCTCTCCGTCTCGGTAGAGTCCTATGATCCAGGCACGCTTGGCTACGTCAGTGATCAAACCATGAGCGTTGAATTAGTTTGCATTTTGACTTGGGTGGAGATGGAAGCCTACATGTAAATGTGCAGACCCCCCTGCGTGTGTACGCTCGTAGAAGGAAGTCCGCACAATATCGGAATCGTAATAAATCCTGACCCTGCAGTATTCCTTGTAGATCGAAGCATTGTGGGTCATGGTGGCGGTACCTGGAGCTCCCCCGGAGGGTCCCACATATATTTCTGTATGTCATCTTCATTGTTGAGTCAGCTTTGTCAAGGACTGATGTCAGCCCCATTGCACAGAGGAGCAAGGTAAGAGACAGAGAATCTGGGCAGTTTGAATCTAAAACTCATTTCCACTCGATTTAAAGTACGGAGACACCCTAATTCTCTGAAATCTTTACAAGAACCGTGATTGCAACGTCTGCTAATAGGACACACATACCCCCACACACACGGCACCCACACACCCTTCGCCCCCTTCGGAATGGCTTGCTGAAAGGTCCGGAAGAAGGCAGTATGTTCTCCCCGGGGTCAGATTTAAGGGAAAGGTCTGTTCTTTTGGTGACGGGAACACTTACTCCCAAACAGAAAGCTGTCGTTAGGCAAAAGCACTCTGGAAACTCGCTACCTCTCTGAGTCCAGCTAAACCTGGATGGAGGGGTTCAAATTTCTCTGCGCTCTCCGCTGTCCGCACCCTCGAAGCCCCCGGGCCCTGGGACTAAGGCAGTGATGTCGAGGTCTGTTGGCGTTGAGTTAGAGACCACGAAGCAAGGGCTTTTCAGAACAAACCCCAAACCTGAGAGCTCCCAGGAACAGTTCACTGTGCTGTTCAAATGCCTGGGACCAAGAGCGGATCCATCTGCAGGTAGAAGCAGCAGGAGGGGCCCACGGACGTCCGCGGGCTGGACGGAGGTGCGGCCTGGGGACAATCCGACCTCCGGATGGAGACAGGTCACCCCAATCCCAGAGGAGCAGCAGGCACAGCCCTCAGGGTGACAGGGCCACCCCTTGGGGAGCTTTGAACTCTGCAAACCGCCATCCCTCCCTTCTGAATGAGATGAAAACCAGCCGTGCCACTCGGGTTGCCTGGAGAGAGAGCTGGCGCTGCACCTGGGTCTGCAGGTGGCTGGGAAGATGCTAATGTTCGCCACTTTCTAAGACAGATGAGCTTCCCCGTTAGCTGCGGCCTCCATCCAGGTCAAACCGCGGAGAAGCACCGCCCTCCACGGTGGCCTTGGCCGAATGCGCAGACAAGGAGCTCCCTGGCTCGGCCTGTGGGCTTTGCCCTCAGGTGCCCACGCACCAGCCAGCGCGAGTCTGGCCACGAGCTGGGGCTCAAAGCACAGCTTCCTCCCTTGAGAAGTTGGGAGGATACTTACT